ATGTTTTGATGGGTTGGAGTCAATAAAAAAGGGCTATTAGGTAACTATTCTTTATCACAAGCTTTCGGTTGTGTTGACAATTAATTTCAGGAGCTAAAAAAATAGAAAATATCTTTATATATAATAATAAATAAATTTTCTTTTTTATTGTTAAATGAAAAAGAATATTTAACAAAATTTTAATTTTGGCAATATAATTGTCAAAAATAAATACTGTAAGTTGGCATTCATGACATTGAGGCTTATTTGTAATTGGTCGCTATTCTAACTTATTTAAAATTAATTAAAATTCAGTTGTTTTTTGTTTAAATAAGTTTTTCAAAATTATGTTTCAAAAATGTAAGAGAAACATTTATTCGACAAACTAATTTTTTTAAAATAATGTTTTTTAAATATGGCTAGCAGCATAATTTTAATAACTAAATTAATTTTATTTAGTGAGGCAATTTTTTGCAATTATTAGTTCCATTTGCAGTTATTTTTTTACTTAAAATGACTTAAAATATATGACTTGAAATATTCGCTCCGTGCGTGACCATTGTAGGGGTACATTGAAACGATGCCAGCGTGCGTAGCGGCGAAATATGGCAAAATTGGAATATTGGACAAAATATTTTTACGCATAAATTTTATCAAAAATGTGTGCTAATACATGTTGCGTATTTAATTGTGCTAATAATAGCAAAAACAGTGAGCGTAGTTTTTATAGGTTCCCAAAGATTACACATAAATTAGAGAAAAGAAAAAGATGAATTCGTGCTATTAATATGAAAAAGTAAATATCACATAATTTCATTTTCATGCAATTGAAATAGGAAAAATTTAAATAATTTACCTTGAATGATATTTCATAAGGCTTCAAGCTAACTGCAGATGATTTTAGCTTTTATATCATAACTTACTATTATTGTTTTTAATTATATGCTCTTTTGCATGACAAACTTGATTTGCCAGTACTGGATTTTCCCCTTTCTTTTCCGTTTGGAGTTGAAAATATATATTATGATGAATTTTGTGAAACCCAGTTTTTAATACTACATTTGTTTTGTACATAAACTGAAAAAATATAGGTAAAAAACTAATTTATTAATAATTGTCAATTTCGCATGTATTTAACAATGTCAAACATATGTCATATGTTTAACCTGAAAATTGGGACTCCAAAATTGTCAGAAAAAGGCGGTAGGTGTCGTGTCAGTCACGCACGGAGTGAATACAGTTTATTAAAGTTATGAACGACAATATTGTAATATTAAGATAGCTTACAGAAAAAGAACTATAAATAATTTAAATGTTTGTCTAAATAATTTAAACTTTCGTATAAACATCAAGGTATAGTGCGTGCAAGCACTCCTGACCACGGCGCAGTAGACGAAATTTGGTTTAGTCCCCACTTCCATGCGAAACGCATTGTACTGTATAATTCCACTTACAATATAACCTATCTGCCTATACGTGAATTTGACTCCGTCTTCGCGCAGCTTAAAGGTCAAGAGTGCTTGGACTATCTATAACTAATCTCTTGTTTTTTGCACGTCAGTTATTTAAAGCGACTCTTATGACAACAAACGAGAAATCCACTAAATAAAACATACCTTAACAGGATAAGTCATAGACTAAATATCTCTCACATGAAGAGCACTATATACTAAAAAATTTAAACGACCGACAATAACACATTCACCTTTAAGAAAAACAGATATGACCTGGGCTCTCACCAACGCAGAAAAAACAACAATATTCGCACCGCATCTTGCAATTGTATGCACAACACCAGGTACTAATAACGATGAAGATGATTATACAAGGATATACCCTCGAAAATCCATGTCAACTATCTCTTCCTGTGACAACATTTACTCCGACAGAGGTTCGGCAACAATTAAAAATGCTAAATCCTAAGAAAGTTCATGGCTATCATTTGATAACAGGAGATTTACTTCAGAAGCTACCGAGAAAAGCAGTGATGTTATTAGCAATAATATACAACAGCATAATAAGTATTCGATACTTTCCAATACAATGGAAATTTGCTCAAGTTACTAGGATTCCAAAACCTGGCAAGCTCGCAACGCAAGCAAATATCATATCGCCCTATAAGACTACTTGCCTACTTCCAATAATGTCGAAAGTATTAGAAAGGCAACTATTACATATAATCTTTTATGGATTTACATCGATGGAACTCAATGATGATGATAATAGAGTAAAACGTTACCTCTGAGGCTTATCAAAGAAAAACAAGTAAAGTGATCTTAATATAAAATTGAGTAGGTATAAGAGCGTTAAAATGTTAAGTTTTATTTAGTTTGCTGTATGGGAAGGAAAATTCTACATTAAAGCTAAAACAAATACAGAAGTTAGAAGTATTTGAGGTGAGGTGCTATAGATGGATGCTTAAAATACCAAGGATTCAAAGGGTTACTAAGACCAAAGTGCTGAGACGACTAGTACCTACTAAAAAGAGTGCAAAGCCGTTAAAACGATTAAAGTGAGAAAAGTTGAGCACCTGGACCATATTACTAGGGGAGAGAATTATGAAATACTAAGACCAATTATGCAAAGAAAGATCACAAGTAAAAGAAATGTTGTTCGAAGAAAGATTGTGTTAATGAGAAATATGCAAGAATGGTTTAATTGCAGCCCAGGAGAACTCTTTGAAGCAGCTGCAAATAAAGTACGGATAGCTATGATGCTAACTAACCTGCGATAGGAGCAGGAATCACAAGAAAAAGGTTATTGTTGCATTTTGACTTCCTGTTTTCCAGTTTAAAATAATAAACTCTAATCTCTACCATTATATATGTATCTTTACAATTTTTTTTATGTATTATTGAATATGTTAGTTAAGATTTAACAAAATGGCAGTAATAAATAAGACCCCATGCACAGACACTTTATATAAAGACCTCCTCAGCAAAATTACCAAAAAGAGACCAGTTAGTAAGCGAATCATTCTTTATTGTGAAACATTGTGACGGATCAGTAGAAATATCCCGAAAAAAGTAAAACGGTCAATGTTTAGAGTCTTATTAAACAAAAAGATCAATTTAGGCAAATAAAAAAGAAGTAGCATATCCTCATCAACAGCTATTCCATATATCGTCGAATGTAAACCTCTCTTAGGTGTGAATCCAGCCATTAGCTTGATGTCATCAGTCATCTGATTTGAGGTCTGCCTCTACTTCTTTTGTCTTTCATTCTTTTTAATCATCTTATGTTTCATTAAATTTACAATCGCTAAGCTTAATGTTGAGCATTCTTCGTTCCATAACTCTCTTCAGTCACTTAAATTTTGTGGACATTGTTGTTGTTAAAAGTCCATGTTTTAGTTCCATATGTCAGAATCGGTATGATCGAAAGTTTTTATTTTTAAAGTATTTGGAAAGTTTTAGGTAAATACTGTTTGTAATCTTCCAAATGCTGCCCATCTTCTTCTTCTTCTTATGGTGCCTATCCGTTACGGATGTTGGACACTAACATGGCTATTCTGACTTTGTTGACTGCTGCCCTGAAAAGTCTGGTAGTGGTTAAGTTAAACCATTTTCGCAGGTTATTCAGCCAGGATATTCTTCTCCGTTCTGGACCTCTTTTTCCATGTACTTTGCCTTGAAGTATAGTCCGAAGTAGGACCATATTGCCCATACCAAAGAACATCTATTTAAGTCAGACTTTCGGTTAAACTCTTTTTTTGTCCTAAGTGTATATAAGACTCAACCTTTTCTATACCTATTAGTATTATCCAGAGTTGTATCTAAAGATTCGTTTGTTAGATGTTTAGGTTTTGCTAGATTTCCCTGCAATTCTTGTCTGTCTTTGCTATCTATTAACACAACGTATCGGCAAATCTCATATGGTTAAGGTTTCCGCCGTCTATCGTTACTTTATTTGTTCATTCTATAGTTCGAAACATATCTTCTAGGGCTCGAGAAAAGGGCTTGAGTGAGATAGAACCTCCTTGTTAGCTCCTCTCTGTAGTAGAAGAAAAAACAAAAAAAAAATTAAACTACACAAAGAGGTACAGAGAAGTAGAATATATTTTCTAGCTTATTATTATTTTAGTTAGTCAAGAAACATCTTGAAAATCTCTAGAAGGTTTTTTATTAAAAAAATTGGACACAGAAAGTTTCATTTAAGTCTATTGAAGTTATTATTTTTTTATAATATACTATAAATATTTATTAAATAGCAAGAGCAAGTGATATGTTGCCGAAACGTCGAAGAAATGATGTGTTTTTATTTTTTACTAAATTTAATTCATAACAAAAATGTATAGGAATCAAAAATGTATACCTACAAATATTTAAATAAAATATTCTAGATATTTTAAGTAGATATAATTTTTCGAACGGTAGTTAAAATATGACTATAATTTTCAGAATAAAATGTCCATTTTGTTAATTTATTTAACATTTAAGTAACATTTCGATGCGTTTTACGGCCAAACACTAAATTTCAATTAAGAAAATGTCATCGGAGTTATGTTCACTGACAATTACACCTATCCATCTGTTTCTAAAAACCGAAATAACATCAAAGCGGTAGCACCTACGAGAATTTTGCCTAGTGTAATGAACCCCTCGAATAAAAATACAACCTGTGGCAGCCCACCCAGCTGTTCGGACTACTAAAAACACCTTAAAACCCCCAATTAGTTGTTAAAATAACTGCACGCTCCCTGTAGCACGAGTAAGCGCCAGTGTTACGTCACATCAACGTCACAAAGTGGGGAGGTAACCGGTGGAGGGGTGAGCACACTGCCTCTCTCTGTTATTGGCCAACCCCTTACTTACGACTTCCTAATATGGAACAGTGACTTCATTCATAAAAGTAAAGTCGTCGCGTTCGCCGATCAGTTCCCGATATCAGTTCGGTGCGAGTAGGTGCGCGATTCGTAACTAAACAGCAGAGAGCGTTATTTCTTATAGTTCAGTGCGCGCTTATTCGCGCTTTCGTTGAAAGTGCCCGGGTGGCGTAAAAACCAACCAAAAAGTGGCAAAATGATCATGGACACTTTAGATACGCTGCCTAATCAGCACCACCACCATCATCACCATTCTTCTGCATTTTTACTGACGGAAAGTGCCGCGGCGGCAGCTGCCGGACACCACTTTAACGTACTCAGTTTTGACACATGCTTATACAAAACAGGAACTAGCAGTAATAGTGGAGGTAGTCCTATACCCGCTTCGATTTGTTCCCCTTGCGAGGATCCTTCTCCTTCGGAGGCGCAACCTGGCGATTTAAACACCCCCGTTACAACTTCCAGCGACGCTCCTTCCTTCTTCGGGCCTAGTACTGTCGTGGAACCACCACCTATAACAGGTTAGTCCTCAAAATGTAACAGGTGCAAAATATACTTTGCTCTGGGCTATATTTACATCGACCGCAAACCGTGGCATGCATACAAGTGGATAAAAATAACTCTTGCCGGTATAATGTTATGTCTATAGTCTTGGAATCGCACAAACACACCAATATTGAGTTACGGAATTTAGGAACACGTTCCACTTCGACATACAAGTCTCTCCTGCAATTTATTAGCACTTAAAAGATGAAATATAAGTGCTTGAGTTTCTGATTTTTACGATCTCGTCAGGGATAATGCCGAAGTTAGCATACACACATTCACGGTCATGTCTTTTATTGCTTATTAACAAGCGTTTTACATCACTTTTATAGACTCGTTGTTTGTAGTTTGAAGATTATTGTTTTCTTAAAATATACTATGGCTTTTAATAAAAACAATCTTGCACAACACTTCACGTAAATTTTTAATTCTCTTTTCAATTTATTTATTTTTGATCTAACCAAACTTACAGCCGGTTATCTTTGTTTACTTCCCAAGCATTAGTCACAAAATTTACAGAAGTATGTGCTAAAAGTTTATGTCCACTGAAAACTATCATCAATGAGCTTAAATAAAGAATTTAATTTGATTAGCAAAGCCGTTGGAGTAATTACTAAATATAGACGCAACGTGAGAAACTTTGTCCATTCATTAAAAATATCACAGTCGATAATAAATATCGCTATAGCCGAATTGTTTCACTTCCTCTCTTCCAAGAAAAAAATATTGATCTTGAATTGCTCGGCAAAGCGCGACGAAATATGAGAACAGCTGAGTGACAATTTATCGATGAGTAGTTATTTTATATAATAGGGTGTAATCTTTGTCAAACTGTTTTGTTTTTGTTATCTCTCTGATATATTTTGTATTTATCGTGTTAGGTATTATGATAATGTGTTATGTAGCCTGGCATTATTTCATTTTATTTCTCACGCAATTGAATAATAGAGTATGTAATAGCTAATTGCCCAAACATGCGAAAGTATGATTTTTTTACATTTATTGCGTGAGGTGTAATTCAATTGGAAATGGAATTTTTTATTGCCTTTTGAAAAATATATATTTTTTAATGCTAATGCATCTCAATAGTATTGCTGCTAATAATGACAGTATCTAATATCACAACATACAAGGATCAATACTAACACATATAAAGTAGGGATTACATTAAAAAATATTAAGAAAAACGTTCACTATGCAATGGCATATTCCATTTGTAAACTTCTTTGGACAAAAAATTTAATTGATTCTTCTTTTGGCTTTTTAAATTATTTTTTATCTAAATGGAAAAGGTATCCCTTGCTCAACATCATTATATTTATATAATATAGGTACATTAGTTAGTTTTTCCGTATTGTTTCTTATAATGTCATAATGTACACTTGATTATGTCATATCTAGAAAAACGAAACGCATGTTTAATATGAAGATATTGGTACGAGAATGTTTGAAAGAAACAACTAAATATTATGAAATATAGTTATAATAATATTAAATTTGTTTATTCACATATTGTGCGGAAGAGAGCAAAAGAACCGCTATCTGCTCTGCTCTCCTGCTATTCCTCCCCTACGGCTACTATTATTATAATAACTAAAGGGGCAAATAAACTGCAGACACACAGTTTTTTCATTGGAAAATCAGTTGGGTAGCTTTTTGCATAATTCAAATTATATTAAAACATATTTCAACGAGCTGATGTTAACAGCTGTTACCAACTACCCACACGTTCATACAATTTATCAATTAGGTGTTTCATTATCATGATTTTAGTAATACGGAAATGATTTTAACTAACATTATCCTTCTGATTGCCATGGTAATTAGTAATGTATGCGGGTGTTTTAGTTAATTAAAGTAGATGAAAGCTGGAAAAGATGCTGCGTTTTTAATATTAACAAAATATTTTGACAAAAAATATGGATTTTTGAAGAACCAAGAGAAAAAAAAACATTTGAAGTTTGATAATTGTCTGCTATTTGTGTGATTACTTACTTGTCATTCAAGAGGCACTTGTCATTTTTTTTATTACCACTAATGTGGTTTATTTATTATTTTTTGTATTTTTGTTTTTATTTACAGCGATTTCATCTATGTTAAATATTTTAAATGAAATCTAATAAAAGATGAAGATTTTTTTAAATTTTGGTCTCATTTAGGCATTCTATTTTTAAAATGATTCATTTCATTAAAAGCCACTGGGTATCTAGTGACATATTATTCTGTACACCCAGATGAAAGAGTCCAGAAGACCAGTAGAACATGTTTAAGTTTCTAAAAAGATCAAAATAGGTAGACTTGATACATTTCAAACCTGGTGTATCAGCGTTGCTTGATACTATTTTGTATATTAAAAAAAATCATTAGCAGCACAATTAAATAGAAAAAACTGGAACAATACATAAATTTAAAAGATTTGATTGAGCTACAATAAACGTAAGATTGAACATCATCAGACCCAGAAAAAAGATTGCCCAAAGAGAACAGAAAAGTATTCTACTTGAAAAAATGAAGACCCTGGCTAAGTAACTCTGAGGAAGATCAGGTTATGATAAAGATACAATTCCTTGTGAAACATGCCCAAATAATTGATAAGAGCAACTTAAAACTTTTTATTGCAGTTGAAGACTTGTAATAATGATACCAAACAAATATTTTTGAACAGTAGTTTACATCTACAAATAACGTTTCTGCAAAAAACTTGAGAATGTATTTTTATTTCCATAAAAATGACTAAAAATATAGGTTTAAACATATATCAATACAACAAGAAGCACATATGCACATGAAAAACTTCCAATTCTTCAATATGACCACGAAACCTACAAAAGAGTAATGTTCTTTAAGTTTGCTGTATAAAAAAAAAAACAAAAAAATGCTAAGAATTAAAGAAAGCAAAACTGTTTAAAAAAAAATAGAATTTTATCAATATATTAATTCAAACTTTTTTTTAACAAAAACGTTTTGAGATAAATTATTTACAGTAAAAACCCCATCTTCAATCTGAAAATACCGAATCTACGAAACATTTATCTAATTTTATCTTTGTGGTCAAAAATCTGTGGATTCAATCTCAAATTTTAAAGCAAAATATAATCTTACTTCATAATAGTTTGATGATATCATGTAGCAAAAATGTATTGACAATGTAAGTCTTACTTAACTTAGTCGAACCAGTAATAAATTATACATGCGCTGGAGCATTAAGTGTTTTCCCATTCATTCGACTCAGCTAAACATTCGTACGGCTGTAAGATTGATAAAAAATATATAATTTTGTTGTTTATACATGGTTATGCACGTTTAAGAAATGATTGAATAATTCATCTATAATACGTGTAAACTTTTCTGCTTCTTTATTCACTCAAACATCTTCGTCCCATTTTCCAGCTTATATTATCTTCTTTCCTTACTATTTTAATGGGAATAAGTCACAATTAAAGGTTAACATAAGTTTATTAACGTATTAATTTCCACTTTGTAAATCGTTCTCAAAATACAAACATACAAACAAACAATAAATTAAACATATTTTGTTTTTGTGTTATATATTATTATATTTTACCAATTTTTATTTTGAAATATTTTTAGAAGTACATAGAAGGTTAAAAAGGTAAAAAATATATTGAAATTTTAAGGAGAATAGCATAAACAATAATTTTATTTTCACATACAGGTATATAATATACTCCTATGGATTGACGATTTACTTTTTTCCTTTTCACGCAAATAACTGGACTCGATTCCCCTCGTAAGAGAATTTGTTTTTTTTTTAAATTCGTTACAAAGAAATATATAATATAAAATATGTAATTAGAATTTTTTAAATTCCAAATAACTTAAATCTGTGTTATTATAAAAAAAATATTATTAACAATTCAGTAGTAAACAGACATAAAATTGCATTAACCGACATTATAGAAATAACTCGCTATAAGAATTATTCACTTCTGTCGGTACTCTCCATGTACCACGCGCCATTTTTAGCTAAACAATGTTGTTAAAACATTGTCCGATCTGGAAACCTTATATATAAGTATATATTCGATTTAATTTTGTTTTACTTGCTTCATTCTTCAATTGATAACATTTCCGTCTTTAGTAGATACATAAAACAATTATCCTAGTCCCGTCCTCGTTCGTGTTTTACTGATCACATTTGGCCATTAAATCCAATTAATTCACCGAATAGACCAGATTCCTGCGAATTTAGTTCAACTCTCCCGTTTTACCCAATAAATTCCTGCAACAAGTGTCACCATCTGCGAGAATGTGGGTCTAGCCCAAGCATGGTGTTGGGCGACGGCGCAAGCTTGTCGGATATGATCAATACTGCGGCAGGCCATTGATAGAGTTTGAGCGCTAAGGCTTTCATTCAAGAAAATTTTACTATGTTGAAACGCCATCATGGCGGGTCTGTTAATGTCAAGTGCATAGTTCATTGTCGGTATTAATCGATAGAGTAAACTGCTTTGTGGGAATCAGTTGGGAAAAGTATGCCAAATGTTATAGTTGCCCCCATTTTGTATTATTATACTTTAAATTAAAAAAAAAATGTAAATGTATGGGTATACAGATTATACTCCGTTCGAAAAGTATTGATAGAACATTTTTTATGACACAGCTAATAATCCTGGACGTGATGTCGTCCTATAGTGAAAGAAATGTTCATAAAAATTTCTCATTGTGAATTACTTTTGTTAATATGTAAATCTACTATGCAGATTTCTTAGCTTCGTACTAATAGCTGCAAAACTCCACAGGGTTCCACTTTAAGCCCTACACTTTTCTTATTAGCTCTCAATAATATGTCGCAAGATACAGAGTTATACCATTAAAAGCAAATGTATATGCTGACGATCTAATAGTTTACATTAAAAGTTGTAATATCTCTCTTGCTACAAAAATCCTTCAGTCATTTCTTTACAAACTGAAAGTATGGTGCCAAAAAAGTAGTTTGAGTGAAAAGATCTAT